GTAGGTAGGTAGGTAGGTAGGTAGGTAGGTAGGTAGGTAGGTAGGTAGGTAGGTATATGGGCAATTCTCCTGAAAACTAGAACTTTTCGTAACACGGGCATCAAATTTTAGAATTCAACCAAATTGCTTGAAAATATACTCAGTACACATGTCTAGTTTTGATCCCCACAAGGCTGAAGCTAAAGCTTGTTTGGTTTCTTTGAAAACGGAAGTGAAGTTTAGACTAGTGCGCTACGATCTTAAACGTTACAGGACACAACAATACCGCTCAAAACAGGAAATATAATAGAGCGAAAGAAAAATTAATTGGGCAAGCACAATGTCCTTTGTATTCATTGTTTGTTCACAACAAATTTCAAAACATTTCTTAAAGAAGAAAATGCTTATCAAACAATTATAATGTCTTTAACGTTGTCGGGCAAGAGTTATTTTTCAAAAAGATAACTATACTTTTATTTACAAAAATACTAATAAAAGTAGAGCTTTTAACAAGTATTGCTATAAAACAGGAAATGTAATGGTGTAGTTTCAGCAAGTATGATCAAAATCGATAAGTGTTTTTTGGCAGCAACAATAGCTAAATGTAGCAATCTTGAACGTTACAGGACAAAAGTTGAAAAAAAAGTGTGCAGAAAAAAGGACAATTTGTTTCTTAAAAATAATATGACTACTGAGGACTAAAATATATATTGAAATACTTCTTTGATGTTATCTGTTATGTTTTTAGAAAAAAAAGATATCAACTTATTGACTCATTGAACATTTTATAGAGACTTAAAATTTACTGGACAAGAATGTTGTGGCTGTAAAGTGAAACAAGAAATCCAAACTGAACTGAAATTAATTTTCCTAACAGTAGAAGCTGCAGCAGTAGCAGAAGCAGTAGTAGTAGTAATAGTAGTAGTAGCAGCAGCAGCAGCAGCAAAAACTGAAGTATCAGAACCAAATGCCAAAAAAGGTATTGACATCGCCTTCATTATCGCTACTAACATTGTCAAAATACATCGTTATTCATGGCAGCAAACAGTCTTCTATCTTTCTGTGATTTCTTGTGACATTATGATGATGTTCACTTCCCACGGCATGATGATCATGTTGAAAGATCATTTGAGACCACAACGATTGTGTGAGTCTTGTAGCATCCCATCTGGCACACTTTGGATGAATAGTTCATTGTCCGTAGCTCGAACAGGAAGGTTGAAGCTAATTCATCACAGTATGGACCTCTACTTCCCTAACAGCTCTTTATGATTTCAAGAACACGCAAAATTGCCATTGAGCATGAAACAAGTGGATGGAATGTTTACTAGCTGCTGTTCAAAGTCCAACTGCACTCAGCAAGGATGAGGAATGTCAATATGTCCTTTTGCTGCTTTGCTGGGAAAGATTATTCTGACGTACATTTTCCAAAGTTTGCTTTCGAGCTGCTTTGACTTTTGGAAAGACTTTCACAACTCTGCGAACATCTTGTTTGCAGGATGTGGGTGTCTGTATGACACTTCCTCGAATGTATGGACCTTTTTTCTTCTTCTCTGCGTCTTCATCCTTTCCCTTTTTTAAATGGTATCTTTCTCTAGCCTTAGCATTGGCTGCCCTTTCCTTTTGACTTTACCAGGATGCTGTTACCTCTCTTGTGTAGCTTTTCCATTTCTTTCTTTAGTATCACTTGCCCAACAAACCTACCTGTTGCAATTTTGCTAGTGGTAGTGGTAGCCAATGTGAGGTTTTTCCTTATTGTTTATCCTACATTTTTTAACTTGTTCGACGGTCTTTGCCCTGTGATTTGCCACCTTCTTTTCCCAGTCGAACGTCTTCAGCTCTTTACGATTGCACATCGACGTTACCCTTTGTTTTCTTTAATCTGTCGTGGTATTCCTTAGTTGGCTCAGTGTTAAACTTTGTTGTAATAACTCTGTGTGTTTCTTTTCAGAATATCAGTACTTGAAAGCAATGCATTCAGAGATCTCTTGCACAGAGCACGCACCTATAGTCCTGTAAAGTTGGAAAGAGAATGTGGGAGCGAGAGGGGCGGATGAGAAAATTGTACCAATCAGTTTTGTCACTGAATTAAAAGAGATTAACCCGTGCTATACTTGGTCGAAAATAAGATTATGCTGCATTACTGTTTTACTAAAGTAAATAGCAACAGAAAAAGTAGTCAGAAATTTTGTTTTGGAATGAATATGAATAAAGGGAATATAAACTTAAAACGATGTCATTCATCACTTATGTGGTCTTGCTTGTCTTATCGTAGTCCAAGACGATAAAGTCAGCTACTACGTCCTAAATATTATTGGGACAACACTTGTTAACAAAACTTTGGTCAAAATGATGTGCTACATTCTATGGTTTGCGTAACCATTAAGACCAATGTAAAAACTTACTTTCCTCTTCTTAAAGCCAATATTAACTTTTGATGAAAACTAAGGGAAAAGCTACACTGTGGACAAAGCGAAGCAGCACGGGCAGGGCAATCAAAATAAAACCAAAGAGAAAGACGGACGTTACCAGCCATACCAAGAACGGCACGAAGCGAGGAGATGCCAGGAGAAATTTCGGCCGATGTACAATCGCTTTCATTGCTTGAAATGCACATGCGTGCACACGAGCACATTATTGACAGCATGCTTGACACTAGTAGATCTACATAATTTCAGTGGTGATAACAAGA